GGTCTCCAGTCCCAATAGTAACAACTGTTGGGAGAGAGTGCTGCTCTTTTGAAAAGTGGCGATTCTGCCATTAAGGCTATAAAAGACATAGGAGATGAAGTTTTATGCTTCAGGGCATAAACCAGCCTCTCTAGCAGCCTTGGTACCAGTAGAAACTTAGCAAATAAGATTATAACACGGTTGTCCATTGTGGGGGGTTTGTGTGTCTTTCTCTGAAGCATTTGATGCTGGCCACTGCTGGAGATAGGATATCACATTGGCTGGACTACTAATCTGATTTATAATAACAGACCTTTTATTCCTATTAAGCACGTCCCAGTACAGAGTCAGGTTTCAGCTGGTACTGATGGCCATGAAACACTAAAGCCGCAGCCCAATCTGCTCATAGATACCTGGCACAATTCTTCTCAAATGGAATAGAGCACAGCAAAATTCTACTTACTTACTCATGCCTTGACATATTTTTCAAATGAGGAGCAAAAAAACAGTTGCATATGTCATCATTTTTCCTCATAAATTGCCAAAGTAATGATGAATGATTCTGTACCTGGACAGCTAAATTCATGTGACAATTCTGCAAGGAAGCCTTAATGGAGAGGTGATTTGTATATCTGAGTACAGGATTAGGTTCCAAAAAGCAGAATAGCCTTCTAGGCTCTCTATGTTGCTAGCACTCCTCTCGAACAGCATTTCCCTGCTTTGCTTGCTCACTGGATGTGGGAAAGATTTGTTTTCAGATGTGTATGCCTGTAGCACTTGCCTGGGGGTTACCTGCAAGATGATGCCAGACTCAGCAGGCAGCTACACTTCTGCAGTTCTTCTTGTTCCTGCTGACTACTGCTGACCACAACTCATTTCCTCTCTGTGCGAATGTGAAATGAATACTATCATAACAGCCTTTCTTAATACATCCCAAAGACAAAAGATCGTTTTCTGTTTGATGTTTGGCCATGCTGCATTTCAAATACATGACCTCACCTCTATAAAACTGGTGGGATTTACCATATTGTCACATGTAGTACAACTTCTACCTAGATCACCTCTTTTTATTAATTTGCCCAGCACACAATCAACCTAAAATGATCCCCAGCATATACCAGCTGTGCTGAACTCTTAATTTGTGTTGGGTCATCATAGCTGACAGACAGGGGAAAAAAATTATGTCAACTGTTGAGTAAACCCAGCACTATGAACCTTCCAGGACAGAAACTAATGTATGCTTGTACTGTGCTATGCCCAACACAGTGGCATTCTGGCCTGCAGTCACAATAGTAGATTCAAATACGTAATGATAATTAATAAAGATTAGTAAAGATAAAGATATCAAATATGTAATGATAATAAAGTTAACTCTTCATGCCATCTCTTGGACAGCACAACTGCACATCATAGAGGGGAGCTGATCCTCATTTATACAACAGAAAAGTTGACCAACTTGCATGTAAGCCAAGTAGCAAGGACAATCCCCTCTCTATTCCTGTATCCTACTGCTCCATCAACACAAGATGCATGATCCTTCCTTTTAATGGACTGTTAACTAGAGGCAAAGAAGCAAAACCTATACAATCATGCTGGTTTAGGCTCTACATCTTCTGTATTCTACCTTATGGTTATGTCGTACGGATGTGCTTATCTTTGTGTGCCACAGATGAGCTCATCCTCCTAAATAATTTAGAAGAGCCATCTCCAATGCAGTGGAAGTGCCCTGCTGCCGCCTGCTTGCCTTTTTGGCCCCTCATCTAGTTTGCCTGTGCTTGCTGATATCCTTACTTCTCTGACTTGCTTCGGCACATGGACTTCTTAATGCTCAATTGAAGGGTATTTCCATACAACCTTTGGCAAGTCATACTGTGAACTGGAAATGATTACAAAGCCCTGCTGTCTGCCCTGCCTCCTTGTAGCAGAGGTGGTGGGAAGGGCCATGCACCTCAGCAGTCACAGTACAGCCAAGGACACAATTCCAAGTTGCTGCCAATTTCATAGAATCATAGAATGGTTTGGGTTGGAAAGGACCTTAAGGTCATCTAGTTCCAACCCCCTGCCATGGGAAGGGACACCACGCACTAAGTCATGTCACCCAAGGCTCTGTCCAACCTGGCCTTGAACACCACCACGGATGGAGCGTTCATAGGTACCTGTACAGGGCTGTTGTCTGCATGGAGTGAAAGGCTGGTCTGCAAGGTGGCCAGGACCAGATCTCAAGAGCCTGTTCAAACTTAAGCTGTTGTATGTAAGGGTTTTTAATTTTGGTGGGTTTTTTTGGTTTTGGGTTTTTTTGAAAAAAGTCCGTATTAATAACATTCTCAGTAAAAACTCTATTCAGGGAGATCTATTTATAATTCTTCAGTCTGTCACTGATTTAACCAGAAAGTCATATGTACCCAGGAATGTATTATTTGGGATAGAGATACAGTCTTCAGGGCTTATCCCTTCATCCCATCATATATGAGCATTTCTATTTAGATGTTTTATAAAAGTAAAAAGCAAAACCAAATAACCAAGAATGGAGAAGCCCTGCACTGGATTTGTCCCTCAAGGACACCCAACTGGAGAAGAACTAAGCAATGTTTCAACATTTTGCTATTACTCCTATGAACACAAGCTTTTTTATCCTATTGGTGGCTAGAAGACCTGACTGGGATTGGGGATGATGATATGAGGAACCATAAAAACATTTATCAGGGGAGAGTCACAGTTACAGCATCACTGTTTTTGCAAGGGGCTGCTGGAGGCCATCTACACCAACTTCTTGCTTGAGCAGGGTCAGCCAGTGCAGGCTGCACATGTCCAGTTCAGTTTTGAGTATCGCCACACTTACAGGTTCCACAGCCTCTCTGGGCAACCTATGTCAACATTCAGTCACCCCCCTAGGGAAACAAGTCTTTTCCCATGTTCAGACTGAATTTATTGGTTTTGATCTTGTCTCCATTGCCTTGTTCTGTCAGTAGGCACCACTGAGGAGAGCCTTGGTTCCTCACCTTCATTCCCTGCCACCAGGCACTGACACTGATTAGAGCCCTCTGAGACCTCTCTTCCTGGGGCCCAACAGTCCCAGCTCTCATCCACTCCTCCTGTGAGAGATCCCTCAGTCACTGTCTCCCAAAAATGCATTGCCTAAGCAAACTTGGCTGACAAGAGAGGGGATGACACAATGTGTGACCCTCACAGAGGCCTGCATGTAGGGTCACTTCTGCTGGCCTCCAGGTCTTCTCCCAGGCATCGAACACGGCTGCTTGTGGTAAATCCATCTGCTGCAGTCAGTTGCTTTGCGTTGTTTTGGAGCAAAGTATAAAGAACGGACTTACAGCCTCAGCAAAGGACAGTGTCTTGCCAGAAGCTACCTTTGCCCCAAAGTCCCAAAGAGGAAAGGCAGTGTCAAACTTTTAGTATTAAAAGGAACAACTTGGTCCTAATTTCCTGTGGTTTTACACGAGATCTGTCCCAGAAGGAACGGGGCTGCCTCTGTCTCATGCTCCATCTACTCAACTTTCCTGATTTTCACTTTTTCTCTTGGACATCTTTACAGTCACCGGGAGCAGCCTGGAATGAGGAGTAAAACACCCATTACACACAGCATTTCAGACGTGTGGGAATCTCATAGGAGCTTTACATGTTAATAAAACTACGCAGTTTGGGGGAAAAAAAGGAAGATAAAATCAAGAGCCTTGATATTTCAAACTCTAAAAATAATGTGAGAAATGAGAAATACAAAAAATGTACGGGCCACACTTGCAGACCTGGGGTGCAAAACATTAAACCACTAACATAAACATTTATTTTTGTTTACTGGAAGCCGTACAGGAGCAGAGCTCGAGCCTACAGGTCGGGGAGGGGATCCCTGGAGGAAGGTCTGCAAGGGCAGCCGCAAACACCCCGAGGAGGCCGCAGCCGCCCTCGGTTACAGGCGGGTTGATGTGGTACGTGCCCGGGTGGCGGTGGCGGTGGCAGGGCCTGGTCTCTGCTACCAGGCCCCGGCCATGGCCCGCCGCGGGAACGGGACCCCACAGCACCCGAACGACAGTGGCGCGGCGCGGGGGCGTGGCCATGCCCACAGCCTACAAGCCCCATGATGCCGCGCGGTGCCGGTGCGTGCTGCGGCGGAGCGGGAAGGGGGGGAGGTGGAGACGGGGGGTGTCGGTTCGTCTCTCCCTGCCGTGTCCCCTTCCTCCGCTCGGCAGACGCCATGTTGGTTTGAGCCGAAGATGACAGGGGGCGGCTGCGGGCGAGGATCGCGCTGAGGAGCGGCACCTCCAGCTCGCAGCGGGGCCAGCGCGGCTCGCGGGGGACTAGGGGGGAGCCCGGAGCCGCCGGAGGACCAGACACGGGAGAGGGAGGGCGGGCGGGCTGAGGCGGCGGCGGCGGCGATGCGAGCGGAGACCTGAGGCTGCGGGAGGCGGCCGCCGTTGAACGCCCCCCGGCCCCCGCCGAGTGCTGTCGCCGCCGGAGCGCCGCGGGGGAGGGCTTTCCCCTCCGGCCGCCCCTCAGGCAGCCCTCCCCGGCCGCCGCTGTTGAATGCCGCACACCGCCTAGAGGGGGGCCAAAGCCCGGCGTCCTCCCGAGCCGCCGCGGGCCCACCCCGGCCCTCCCGCACTCTTGCCCCGCCGAGGGCAGAGCGAGGTCCTGCTAGCCCGCCTGCCTGCGCGCACGGGTCGCCTGCGCCGGCTGAGGAGGTGACTTGGACGCACCATTATCCCGTGAATCATCCCGTCGTCACTTGTCAAGGCTGGGAGAGAAGGAAGAGGGAGCGAGGGGGGAAAAAGCCCGCACGCAGCTCATGTGGCGGTGTAGTCCTGCCTGGTCCACCTGGCACCGCTGCTGCCTCCGCCGCTGACAGGGATCTGCTGCCATCTCTGGTCTCCCGCTGGCTCATCCGGTACAGCCCCGGCACCGCTTGCCCCTGGATATTCCTCCTCCTCAGCCGGCCGCGTTCCCCGCTGCACATCGGGCACCTTTGTTTCGTAGGGGACGTGGAAGTTGCTGCTTCGGAAACTGACCCCCGTTTTGCTTCTTGAAGCTCTCCGGCAGCCGGCTGTTCTTGGTGCCTTTTTTTTTTTAAGTTGGTTTTGCGCCATTTAGGGTAATATCAAGATGTCCAGCAGCGTTCCAGCTGATATGGTAAGTCTCGCGCTCCTTATATAATAATATTATTATGGAATAACGTTTATTTCGGCTTTTTTTTTGCAGAGAAAATAGAAAGAAGAGGGGCGTGGGAAGAAAGAAAAAAACCCTGTCTCAGTTAAATATTTAAGGAACAAAAAGTTCCGAGTTAATAAACGCTCTTCCAGCTCCAGATGCTGGTTCTGCTCCGCTTTTTGGTAGCAGAGTGGGAAATCTGCAGCGTTGCCTTCTATGTAGCAAGGCAAGGGGGATGTCTGCTTTCTCTTACCTGTGGCAGCAAATATCTGACTGCCCGTGCTTATTTCGTGTAGCACTGCTGCTCACCTATGTTGAGCATTTTTTTTTTTTGAAAGATAATATGAAGTAAGAGCATTCAGAATTATTTATTCGAGCTGTTTATTTTATTTTTTTTTTTATCCCCTGTCTAAACCAGCTGAAATTTGGTCTCAGCCTCCTTCCTTTTCTCCTCTCAAACTTGGCTTGTTTCTTACCGACGCTTTGTCTTCCGATGTTGATGGGCAGTTAATCTCTTCACTTGCTGCCGGGTCAAGAGCAAGAGAGAAATTCTCATACACTCATTACATGGCGAGGTTCTTTGTGCACTAGCTGCAATCTGAACATTTTTCAAGGGCACTCCTCGTACTTGGATGGCGGACTGTACTTCAGCCTGGGTTGGACGCTCGGTTGATTTAAAGTAGGAAGGTGGAGAAGGGCAAGAGGAGGGAGGGTGGATCAGGTCTGATAAGTAATCCTGCGTTCAGTACGACTTTCCCGTTTTGTACGTATTTCCGTAAGTCACTTAATCGGGAAAAAAAAAGTTGTGGCTGCAGTTTAATATGTTCCTTATTCTCACGGCACAGTATTTTCACGTTATCTACCCACTACTGTTCACATTTAAAGGTACTATTTTTTTCCAGTGCACCAGGCTTGTCCATGCCTTTGTTTTCTTTCAGGATGAAGTTATGTTTTGGGAGTAAAACCTGCCCTGTGGTGATAACAGTAACCCCGAGTAGCCCTTGTTTCAGCCGTCGATATACAATTAATGGTGCATATGTATGACAAACGGGCTGGTGAAACAGTATTATCCTTTAGTTGCTTACTTTCAGTGTTTCTTTCACAGCTTTTGTACTGCAGCCAAAATGAGTGAATTCTGCTGAAAAAAGCAAGCAGAAGCAGTAAGAGAGGATGATCAAACATGGTTTTAAGCTCACTTCTTTTTTTCCCCCCCTTTCTTTTCTTTCTTTCTCCCTATCTGCCTTTCCCAAATACTATAGATAACTTCCCACCCCCTGGATGAAAAGGGTAGTGAGAAAACTCTCTCAGACTTTAAACCCTTTCAGACTGTCATTTTAATATATTTCATTTTAGGGTCTGTCTGGCAGTTAAGAGTACTCTGAAGCCTCTTCTTGCTTTCACGTGTCTGTCTAGCATAATATCACAGAAATCCTCTCAGTAGCTGTGGAGGGTTAGATGCAAATCTCTTTGTGCCGCTTTTTACATTGCCTGGAGGAGTCCCTTGGCTGTGACATGAAGCAGTCCTCTTCCCTCTCACCTGGGCTGAACATGCTGCCACCTCCACATTACTTCTAGGTCTTGCCTGCCTGGGAATCATGATGCTGCCACTAAGCTTGTAGTGTTTGACACGTTAGACAAAATAGACACATTTTAAGATAGGTGAAGTACTGTTTTGTTACTATGAAAACAATTTCCTTCTGTTATGATGTCATAAGAATACCAATGACAGAGATAGCTAGGCCTAGCAATGCTGTGTCTTCAAATCAGGAAGAGGCTTGTTATATACACAGTGATGTTTAAATACTGAGTCATTACAAAAACATTTGAATGAAGATGTTACCAATGTCGGTAGAAGGAGTTTGTTCAGGAAAGAAAATAGGATTGTTATTTGATTGAGCTTTAAAGAGGAGCACTTACCAGGCTGTCACTTTGTTCATATGTGTTTTTATTTGGTGCAGGATTTTTGCAGTTTGCATTTCTCTTATCCACCCACTGTGTAATCTGAATATACAAAAAAGGTTGTTTCCCATTTCAGTAGGAGTTGACATCAGTGTGATGGAGTGTTTACAAAGACTCCATCACACTTAGTAAATCTGCTATGAATTACTGGAACATTATAATGGTTATGTTTCAAACTGTTTATGTCAGGTTCACGCACTAACCCTCATAATAATAATAGTAAAAAACTGTAATTGCTGATTCTTAAAAATGTGTTTGTCTTCCTGTCCCACCTCTGAGAAGGATCTGCTACACAGAAATTCATAGTAAATTATCAAATTTTTAGTAAGCTTTCTACTTGTATGTAGGCATAATTTGATCCAGCCTCCTTTTGTCTGACATCTAGTCAGACAAAAAAAGCTACAGCAGATTTTGCCAGCTAACCATTTCAACATCACTTCTTAAATAATTAATGCAGTACTTTATGATTTGCATTCCACTAATAAATTGGGTAGTGACACACCACATTCCAGGTATTATAAGTTTATGGTGCATTATTCCTTAGCAGCATGTGCTACTTACAGGTTAAAACTCCATTCCTGGAATGAAATGTGCTAATATGTCTGTATTTGATTCATTAACTTAATTTGGACTAGATGGGGGTGGACTGTTCATTAGGGACTGTAGTGACAGGACAAGGGGTAACGGGTTAAAACTTAAACAGGGGAAGTTTAGACTGGGTATAATGAAGAAGTTCTTTACTGTAAGGGTGCTGAGGCACTGGAATGGGTTGCCCAGGGAGGTTGTTCACCTCCATCCCTGGCGGTGTTCAAGGCCAGGTTGGACAGAGCCTTGGGTGGCATGGTTTAGTGTGAGGTGTCCCTGCCCATGGCAGGGGGGTTAGAGCTAAATGACCTTAAAGTCCTTTCCAACCCTAATTGTTCTATAATTCTCTGTATGGTGCAGTGCTTGAAGACTGCACTGCCGATCTAGAACCTAATTTTGTTTGATTTCTCACATAAGTACTGGTGTTTGTAGTGGCAACAAGGCATCTCTGAATAGTCTCTTTCAATAATTTCATCAGGCAATTCATCAGTTTTACTGTTCGGTAGCAGCTAGAATTTGACTGTGAATAACATGAAGGCTGTTCGCAAGTTGTGTTTCTTTTGTAATAATAGAGAGACATGAGGTGGCTTATGGACTTGTTAATCACACTTAGGTGTTTTGTTGTTTTTTTTTTTGAGTGGACCAAATTAAAATAGTTTGGCATTTGTTTAAACACTGTAGCTGACTGTTGTTTTAAAACAAGCTGTGAAAAACCTATGTCAGACAGGAGTTATTACTCAGTTGAATAATCTTCTTTATTTTGGTAGTTATCGCCAGAATCTGGGAAGCTGTGTCTCTGTATTCTGTGTGCCTATGGTACTTCTTACAGATACAATGTTAGAAGTTCACAGTAAGGGGCCGGTATGTCTGAAAAGTGTTATGGTCACCACTGTTGCCTGTATCGGTGTGTTTTATATAGGTATGAAAAAACTCTTCCTGGGCAGTTCTGTGCATGCCCTCTAGGACATCAAATTATTTTTCTGTCGGAGCAGTAACTGAGCATGATGCTTTAGGCTCATGGTGGGGTTTTTGTTTGTTTTGGTTGGTTTGGTTTTTTTTTTGATACTTGATAAAACAGCAGAATACTGAAATCTATCAAACAGGTTTTTGAATTTTATTATGTACAGCTATTGAATCCATATGCTATACTTAGGAGATATAGGTGGTATGGGAGAGATTATTTCTAGTAAAACAACGTTTGGTGTGAGACATTTGCAGACATGCAAGGGGATGGAGTCTATGGTCTCAAACACATACATGGAAAATGTTAAAAGGGGGCAGTAGGTGGAAGAAGAATAATAAATAGAAACCCTGCTAAGTTCACCCTATGTTAGTGTCAGCATCTTTAGTGGAAATATCTCTGTGCATTCATTTTTAGGAAATTTAGTATAGGATGGTGATGAATAGCTTAAGGTATATGAGGACTTCCTTTTTAATGCATATTAATGGCAGCTAGCAGGAAAAGGATGGATATGTAACTGATGCTACCTCAGTGGAGGAATCCTGGCATCCAGGAATAAGGTTCAAACAGGAGGGACTCGAAAGTGTAGCTGGTTGCATAGCAGCTGAACTTTGTTGTTCATCATTCAGTCTGAACAATTCTTTCATTTAAGAATAATAAGTGTGGCATCACTATAATACTCTTGGAACATTGAATGAAAATACTTTGTTCACTCATAGCATTTTAATGTATCAGAACAAAATGTACTGTTCGTCTATTTTAACTGCTTTTCCTTTTGCCTTCAGTGGATCCTTTTCCCTGGTTTTAAAAATGACTGTATTCCTAGTAGCCTTTGTGCATAGGAGACATAAGTGAGGCCTGTAAATCGGTTTGGTTTTTTTTTTCCTAATAAAGGTGTAATTATTTGTTTGTATTTTTGTACCTTCCATGTTGAAAGTTCTAATTCGTTACATTCCAAGATAGAAATAGCTTAACAGGTTTTTATGTACAGAAGTTTTTTCCTTCTTTTTTTTTTTTTTAAATTTTTTCACTGTTACTTGCTGATTGTAAGATACTCCTGTCTTATCCATTGTCATTCTCAGTGTTTTGTTTTGTGATTGTTGCCTCCGTTTGGAGAAGGAATTGGTGGCATCTGCATTAGAACGAAGAGCTTGATAAAGCTTCTTCTGACTCCTTGTATATTGAGCCAGCCTTTGTAGCATATTGCAGTGTTTCTTGTAACCAGGTAAAGAACATCCTCATCTGTTACCTGCAGCAGTGGCTATGGATAAACTTGTCAAAAGCTGAGGCTGGATGTCTATGTTTGGCTGTACTTCAGTATAATTTACTTTTTCCCGTACCCACCCATCTTTTTTCTTCTACAGATTAAAAAACGTCCTACCTATTTATATAACGACCAAAAAGAAGTATCTTAGTAATGTCTAGCATTTTATGAATGACACTGTAGTGGAAGTTCCACAGCACCCGAACACATTAG